ATGAAGATGTTGAAGAAGTTGAACTTGAAAATTCTATTCAAGTTGAAAAGCAAGTTTCACCTCAAGAGTCTATTGCCAAGAACAGAGGAAAGAGACAAATTACCAAGCCAGCTCGGTATAGTGACTATGTTGCTTTTGCTCTTCCTATTATCATTGATGATATTCCATCCAATTTCGAGGAAGCCATTGAGAGTGAGGAGAAGAAGAGGTGGTGCAATGCCATGGGTGATGAGATGAATTCTCTCTTGAAGAACAAGACTTGGGAGTTAGCTAAATTGCCTAAGGGCAAGAAAGCTATCGGTTGCAAATGGGTGTATGCCAAGAAGGAAGATGCTGATGAGAAAAGCAATGTGAGATTTAAAGCAAGATTAGTTGCTAAAGGGTATGCACAAAAGGAGGGCATTGACTACAATGAAATATTTTCTCCGGTTGTGAAGCATTCCTCAATTCGTATTATGTTAGCTCTTGTTGCACAATATGATCTTGAGCTTGTGCAACTCGATGTGAAGACGACTTTCCTACATGGTGATTTGAATGTAGAGATCTATATGTGTCAACCGGATGGGTATATAGTGAAAGGGAAGGAAAATTTGTTTTGCAAATTGAAGAAATCACTTTATGGCTTGAAGCAATCTCCAAGGCAATGGTATTTGAGGTTTGATAAATTTATGAGAGGCCAAAATTATTCTAGAAGTCAATATGATCATTGTGTGTACTTCAAGAAGTTGCAAGATGGGTCTTTAATTTATTTATTGATATATGTTGATGATATGTTGATTGCCTCAAAGAATGTTGAAGAGATTGAGAAATTGAAGAAAACAAATGAAGAACGACGAGTTCGAGATGAAGGATCTTGGTGAATCGAAGAAGATCCTTGGCATGGAGATCACTAGAGATAGAGAGAAGGGTTTGGTCAGTTTGAATCAAAGACAATACCTTGAGAAGTTGATCCGGAAGTTTGGAGTTCATGATTCAACCAAACCGGTTAGTACCCCTTTGGCTCCTCATTTTAAATTGAGTTCTCTACAATGTCCTAAAACTGATAAAGAGAAGCTGCAAATGAAAAATATACCATATGCAAATTTGGTTGGTAGTTTGATGTATGCAATGGTATGTTCTAGACCGGATATTGCTCATGCAGTTGGCATGGTGAGTCGATATATGCATAATCCAGGTAAAGAGCATTGGCAAGCAGCTAAGTGGATATTGAGATATCTCCATGGTACTCGATATATTGGTTTATGCTTTGATAGAGATGACTCTGGTATTGGTCATTTTGCAATTGGTTATGTTGATTCAGATTATGCAGGTGATCTGGATGGAAGGAAGTCTACTACAGGTTATGTGTTTACTATGGCTAAAGGACCAGTTTGTTGGAGGTCCATTTTGCAGTCATCTGTTGCCTTGTCTACTACAGAGGCTGAATATATGGCAGTTGCTGAAGCTATAAAGGAGGCCATTTGGATACATGGGCTGATTAGAGATTTGAGGGTTGATCAGAAGCAGGTGGAGGTACATTGTGATAGTCAGAATGCCATTTATTTGGCTAAGTATCAGGTTCATCATGCGAGGACCAAGCACATAGATGTGCGTTATCACTTTGTTCGTGAAATTGTTGGTGAAGGAGAAATCATTCTCCAGAAGATTCCAACTAAAGACAACCCCGCTGATATGTTGACTAAGGTTGTTAGTGTAGCCAAGTTTGTTCACTGTTTGAACTTGGCTCACATTATGCCTATATAAAGAAGGCGTTGAGCAGTATGAGTTTTTTTTTAGAGCATTTGGCTCGGCATGAGTTGTTCTCTTACTAGTGTTTGGGAGTGATGTTGTGTGTTAATTGTGCTGGTTGGCTTATCATGACGTTTTTCGGAACTTGGCCAATGTGGAGATTGTTGAATAAGTGGCCAAGTGGCCAAGTGGCTATTAAACAAATCAAAAGGAAAAAAGACAACATAATTATGTCCCTTCCATGTTTTGGGGAGGAAAACATGGCACCTTGTCTAAAGTGAATTGTTTTGGCCATAACACCCGTGGGTTTTGGTTTTTAATATGGGGTTGTTGCCTTTGGAGAAATTAGAGAGAGAAGAGAAGAATGCATCAGAAAACAGAGAAGAAAAAATATAAGTGGAGTAGCCCCTCTTAGAAGAGAAGAAGAAAGTGCTCCTCTTTTTGGTTAGTAATCATCCACCAAGGTAGTTGTTGTTGTTGTAATAGCTTTGAGGTATATGTATAGAGAAGAAATTATTCATTATATTTCTTTCTCTATTTGTTTCTGTGGTGTGTGAGAGCTATTGAGTGTATTGGGTTATTTGGGTTGTGAGATTGCCAACACTTTGTAAACTCCCATTTGGTTGATAGTGGATTATTGGGTGAGCTCCTACTGCTCCGAGGATGTACTCCAGTTACATTGAATGTTGAGGAACCTTGTTAAAATCTTGGTGTCTTTTATATTTTGTTCTTGCATTTTCATTTGATAAATTTCCTGTGGGTTAGCTTGAGTTGGTTCCATAAGGTTTGGTGCTATCCTAGCACAACATCCATCATATGTAGGAAACCCAAAAATTAAATCCAAAGATACGAGCTTTTCATTCGCAAAATTGGGAATTTCTTGAACAATCGCGGAAGCGTCGAAAATCTAAAGAAAATTTGAGGAGAAACTAAACAAGAGAAGGAAAAAAAAATGCAAACTACTAAGAAATGGAACCACCATAAGCTATGGCGTGAGCCTGGTGGCTCTTATACCATATTAATTACATTGTAAAAGATGAAGTTGGTACAGAGGAAGAGAAAGACTATACAGAGAAACAAGATAGATTATATTGATTGATTAGAGGAAATGTATACAACTGAACTTAAGAAAATGATAGCTATATAATCCCTTATATAGCCTTATAACCTAATTACAATAATACTCTTCTAACTATATTTATGTTATATCAGTTATTAATAAAGTCCTTGAAACCATTTAAACGATATATGTTCCATCTCGTTGAGATAGTTAAACATGAAACCATTGAAGCATTTGTTTTGTTGCTCTCGCCATATGCACCTCATATGGCTGAGGAGCTTTGGTTTCGCTTGGGACACTCCGAATCTCTGGCATATGAGCCTTTTCCGAAGGTGAGATTACACATGAAATATGGTGTAGGATGTAATACAGTGCGAGGAATGTCGAATGGTATATAGATCACTAGCTGATTACTTCCTGTGTTCTTATAAATGCAGACGGATCCTGCTTACTTGAAGGAATCTACTAGTGTCCTCCCAGTTCAGATCAACGGCAAGACGAGGGGTACGATCCAGGTTGAAGAGACCTGTTCGGAGGAGGATGCCTTCCAGCTTGCATCACAAGATGAAAAACTCTCCAAATACCTGGATGGGAAGTCAATTAAAAAGAGAATTTTTGTTCCTAGCAAGATCTTGAATGTTATTCTGGACCGTGGAAACGTCAAGGCGGCTGTCCGATGATCCTTTCAGCCCCATGCCGGCATTGGTGATCGAGTCAGACGACTGCATGAAGAAACAGCTCCGACGTTATCTGCTTTGCATTTGATTGCATATGCCTTCCCGTTTCGGAAGCCTAGAAATCTAGAATTTGGTCTAGGTTTTGGGAAGAAGGAATGCACAGCTAATTGTGTTACACGACCCTGGCTTGCCCAGATAGGCCCCTCACGTTCGAGGGCCCTAGATGCAAAACAACATGTATGTAAATAGGCGGAGTCATTAATTTTTCTTTATTTATAAAAATAATAGTGCGAATAATAAAGTAACGATTCATAGAATGTATTCAAAAGTTCAGTATCATATCCAAGGTTTTAAAAGACGTTAGGTGCTAGTCAAGTGACAGATTGAGGTCTAGTGCTTTGACGACTAGGCGGATTTAAGTAAATTTATTATATATTATATGCGTGAAAAACATAGGATACATAAATTGTAAAATAAAATAACATATAGATTATAAAGTATTAGAACATAATGAAAACATGGGAACAAGCATATAATGTGTATTCATCTAAGTATTCAACAAGTCTCTTACAATTTGTTGAAAAAAAATAAAATGTAAAATGAAAGTTATCTATTTACTGTTTAAGTGAGAGTCACGACCTAGGCAGGTGACTTGGTAGATTTGGACGGGTTAGGCGTGCGCCTAAGCAGGTCTATGCATCAGTTCTTAATTTTCAAAAGCCTAGAAATTAATTAGAGCGATGGTCAATTGCATAACACTTAAGCAGGACCTAAACAACGTAATGTGAGAATTTTTAAAAGTGATTAGGAGACAAATATTCTCAATTGGTAATTCAAATGGTGAACAACCGACAAACTTTTGAGTTTTGACTCATGATTTCTTGCCCTTCTGATTGATACGTTGCGACTAAAAAAACTATCGAGGACAATGTGGGTGCTACAAGTACTACTTAAGCAATGTTCAATCTAAAACAATGATCAGTTTTGGTTTGAATGTGTTTGAATGTGATATATGCACTTTTCTTATTCTCTGTTTTATATTCAAACATGTTACGTTGTTTTTAATCACTAGAGTTATAAAATTTTTGCGAAACAGGATGAGGTTGTGAAACAATAATGTGACTAATAGCAATCTCACGTAGGATACAAGGGGTGCTACCGTTTCGAGTTGGTAATCAATTTTTAAGCTCACCAATCAAATCATATGAGCTCAACAACTCGCTCACAAAAGACTGAGATTCTTATATTCGAGTTTGTCTAAAATGACATCCAAACAGAATGACTCATTTCTTTGTGAGTGAGTTAGACAATCAATTTGATCTGACTGACGAGCACAAGAATTTTTTTAATGAGCTTGGTTGAACATGCCACCTAATTCGTCGGTCAGTCAGACAATAAAATTACGCTCTTTTTGAATGCTTTCATGGCGTACGCTGAAAACCTCTTTTAGCTTTACAACCAAAAGTGGCAACGCGGTGCCGTTTAAAGAAGAATCCAACTGCCCCTGTCCCTTCCCATGTGGGACCCACCCTCTCACGAGTCGTACGGCCATGATCACGGCGCGGAAATCAGAGACTCCACACTTGTCATCATTGTCCGCTGACAGAGTCCAGCAGAGGAGTCCACCTTCTCCCTCTTTCTCTCCGAAGCCCCACATAAAACTCCAAAATTCACACACCCAGCAGCGCACCCAGCGCACCCCCTCCCCTCTCCTCCTCTTCCTACTATTTGAAAATTCAAATGCTCCTCCTCTCCTCTCCTCCTCCGAATTCAACCCTTCAATGTACTCTCTCTCTCTCTCTCTCTCTCTCTCTCTCTCTCTCTCTCTCTCTCTCTCCTTTTGATTTTCAATTGAGCTCGTAATTTCTGTTAATTTTGATATATTTCATGTAATTTTCAATTAATTGAAGGAAGGACGATGACGATGATGACGATGAAGAAGTCACCGCCGATCCCGGCGCGCCACGTCATCAGGTTGAGCTGGAAGCTGGTGATCGTCCTCTCCGTCGCGCTTTGCGTATGGGCCTTGTTCCGGCTCCACTCGCAGCCCGACCTCATTTCCTCTTCTCCGTCTTCGTTGGTCGTAGCGAGATCTCGAATTTCCCGCCACGGCAGAAGCTTCACCGGCACTCCGAAGATCGCGTTCCTTTTCCTAGCCCGCCGTAGCCTCCCGCTCGATTTTCTCTGGGGCAGCTTCTTCGAGGTTTAATCTCCTTACTTTTGTACATTTTTTTTGTTTTTCCGTCTCAGTTTTCTTGGACTTTCTCGGGAAAGTCATCGAGAGTTGTGTGTGAATTTCGCAGAATGCTGAAGCGCCGAATTTTTCGATTTACATTCACTCGGCGCCTGGTTTTGTGTTCGATGAGTCGACGACGCGGTCTCATTTCTTTTACGGCCGTCAATTGACGAATAGCATACAGGTAGTTGCTCGTTTAGCTTCTGTTTGGTTGCTGAGAAAATGAAACGGAAAAAGTATTAATTTTGAAGTTCGTTCTATCAGTTTTTTTTTAAATAAAAATTGCAAAAAGTTCGAAACTTTCTTTATTTCTTCATGTTCCCTGTTTGTTTGCTCGGAAAATGAAGGGAATTAAAAAAGAAATTAAGGCAGTCTAAAGAGTTGGTAATCAATTCTGTGATGTGGTAATAGTTGCCTTATAGATTATAACATTCAATAATTGAAATTTTAGACAAAATACTGCTCAAATATTTTCAAAATGATCCAAATTTAGTTCGAAGGAATTATTTGCTTCGAAATCAGGTTTTTGCAATGTAGTCTTGTTGCCTACTTGTGCTGAATCCGAACTGGTGGTCACACAATGCAGGTGGGTTGGGGAGAATCGAGTATGATCGAAGCGGAGAGGCTGTTGTTTGCAACAGCTCTTGGGGATCCCGCAAATCAAAGATTTATACTCCTTTCTGATAGGTTAATATTCTTGGCGTAATTGTATAACCGTTTTTCCATTTGCAGAAGAGGAGTTTCATATGGTGCACTACCTATCTAACTTTCTTACTTTTTGCACTGCAGTTGTGTTCCTTTGTACAACTTCAGCTATGTATACAGTTATATGATGGCTTCTCGTAGGAGTTTTGTGGACAGGTAGATGCAGGGGCTTTCACTTTTGAGGTGCTAAGCACTGATAAGTTGTAGATGGTTAAATATCTGTTAGCAAAGTTTCAAATGTAATTTCAAGTTCTGAGTTGAGAAATCTCAAGTGTCTTATGCAGTCTGTTTATGTTGTAGCTTTCTTGACGTAAAGGAGGGCCGCTACAATCCTAAAATGTCACCTTACATACCAAAAGAAAAATGGCGAAAAGGATCCCAGGTTATTATCTGTTTTAAACTTTCGTATGAAAATGGTGAAAAGTACCTCTTTTTGGGATACAGAGTCCTTTGTTAAGTCAAGTCAGTCGTCTTCAACAGTGCTTCACTTGTTTAGCTATTATCGTAATCGTCATCATGATAATTAGTATTGTTCTGTGTCTGTGGTTTGTAGGGATTCTCATTTATAGTATTATGTGATATGCATTCATGATTATGCTCTAATTTGAATTGGATGGGCAATTTCAGTGGATTGCTTTGGTACGAAGCCATGCAGAAGTCCTTGTGGACGATGATGTTGTTCTTCCAGTGTTCAAAAGTTTTTGCAAGGTACGCAATCAAGCAGTTTAGGGTTTGGCGTTTAGGGTTGTCTTCTCGTCTTTATGTTCTGTTATGAAGCTTTCTTATCAAATTACGATCATTCTTATCAAATTGTTAACAAATTACAAAATTTCTCGCTTTGTTTATATCAACAAAGAAAACACTTCATTGCTTCTTACTTTGCAGCGTCGCCCGCCTGTGGATGTCAGAAAGGGAAAGCTGAATCTTGTAAGTGTGATAGGTTCTGGCATATCCAAAATCGTGTAGTTTTCTCTTTCAAGTGAGTGATCTTAGATTCTGATGTTGACTTAAATACCAAATACAGAAACTTCAGAAGCAGCACAACTGTATCCCAGATGAACACTACGTGCAGACACTGCTTGCGGTAAGCTATAGATGTTCTTGTTCTTCCTTTTCTATCTTTGCTAAATGTCTTATGGTATCAAGGTTTCTGTTTCTCTGTTTGTTGAAATGGCTTTCTATGAATTACTTTAGCTGTCACTAGTTCGAGAGTTTCTAAGCGTGATCATGTTACCATTTTTTATGTCTTAATTTGCTAGATGAGTGAGCTTGAAGGCGAACTTGAGCGAAGGACATTAACCTATTCGTTGTGGAACAATTCTGCTGCAACTAAAACCGAGAGTAAAGGCTGGCATCCTATGACTTTCAACCACGCAAATGCGGCGCCTAAAAAAATAAAAGAAATAAAGGTAACATTATGATTATTTTCTTCATTTGTTTTCCATTCTGGCTTCGTCGTTCTGACTTTTTTCTTTTCCGGCAGGATGTCAACCACGTATACTATGAGACAGAATACCGGACAGAATGGTGTCGTGTCAATTCAACATACGTTCCTTGTTTCTTATTCGCAAGGAAATTCTCACCGGGAGCTGCCATGCGCCTTCTTAGCGGGGGAGTAGTCGGTCAATTTGATACCTCTGCACTGTTAAATCCGCCACCATGATCATATACTTGCAAGTTCTTACCGAAGCTCACTGACTGTTAGATGACACAAACTATAATCTGGGCGAAGTAGAAAGCCCACTAGAGGTTTACAGATACCATACTCACCCACACGACAGATTTCGATACCAAGTGCAGAAGAAAGGTTGGTCGATGCGGCTGATCATCTTTGTTCAAAGATGATGAGTTTACTCTTGTAAGAGAGATGATAGGAATTGGATATCTTCGAGTGTATCCGGTTAAATTTTCGTTCTGTAAGCTCCAGCGGAATTGAATGTCATGGATTTCTGTTGTGACCCATAAAGAATGTAGTTAACGAGTTCCGAAATTAATCATTCAACTCTCGTTGTCAATGCTTGGTTTTCTCGTTCCCTTGCTTAACATTTTCAATATCGATACGATGTGATCAAATTGAGGATTTGCATTGTGATCTGTAAAGAATGTAGTGATCGTCCCCTGCAACTCAACACAACTCCAGCCCGGGAGTTTCTTCAAGCCGTGAGACCTCATTTGCCCCCACGCCTCGCCAACGCCATCCCATCTGTTCATCGAAGTGTAGCTATGTGCCAATTGCACGTGGTTTCCGGCATCCCCAGGTCTCAGCATCAAAATTTCTCCGGCAATGATGTTCCCCAGTTCCTCGTTACCCTTTGTCCTACAAGCGTCAAGAAGTATGCCCAAGACATCAACCGCTGGCTCTGGAAAAACCCTCTTGTAGAAGTCATATGCCTCTTCCACCAGTCCAGCTCGACTGTGAAGATCAACAATGCCCATCCTTTCAAAAACAGCACTGACTCTGCTCCAAACGCGCGCACTTTGCATACATTGTAACAAGGGAGTTCAGGGCTGGGATGTCTAGCCTCATTCCTTGCCTCAGCACTTAACCATGAACCGAGGTTCCCATATCAAAAGAACCCAGTTGCGCACAAGCTGCAAGAGCACTAGCTATGGTGGCACTGGACGGCGCTGTTCTTGATTCTAACATCTGAGAGACATCATGGCCGTCCACAGAACCACATCCTTATTCGTCGTCCCTTCGAAGATATGAAATGCAAGGTCAATGTTCCTGCACTTCAAACTTCAAGTGCATAACCGTGGGCGCTGTTTCGACGTGGGAATCCAATTTCAAGTTACTCTGCGTGGCAGCCACGGACACAGCGTATGCATACGTCTGTTTATCAGGCTCCATTTCTTCAACTCTCATCGTATACAAAAGCCGGAATACTTCTCCGATATTTCAGCCTGGGAATAGCTTGAAATCAAGGAATTCCATGAAACTATGTCTCTTGCATTCGTATACTCAAATAAGTCTCTAGCATCTTCAACTCTTCCACATTTACCATACACATTCAACATTGAATTCGCCAAAGTAATGTCAGACTCAAAACCATATAATACTGCACAACCATGCAAACACTGCAAATAAACCAGCTCTGAAACTCCAGAGATCAAGCTTACCAGAGTAACTGAACTGGGCTGAACTTCTTCACGCCGTATCTCACTAAACATCTCAAACGCAATTCCAACATTTCCGGCACACGAATAGCATCCGATAATGGAAGTCCAGGGAACAAAATTTCTGTGGGGCATTACGTTGAAAACCTTGCGTGCATTTTGGGCGTGTCCAAATTTGGCGTAAAAGTTTATCAGAGAAGAAGCAATGTAGGCATCCAAAGAGAACCCATTAACGACGATGCATTGGTGGAACGAGAGGCCATACAGAGAGGTATAAGGAGGTGCAAGCTTTGAGAAGATCAGGGAAGGAGTAGGTATCCGGAGGTGTGTTGGTTTCGAGCATGAAGGAGTACGTGGAAAGGACTTCATGGTGAGAGCCTTGGGATGAGAGGCGGTTGATGACAGTGTTGAAAGTTTTGGTGGTGGCAGTTGGGGCAGATTGCAGTGGCGGTTTCAGGTGGTTTAAGAAAGAGCTGTTCAGCTTGTTCATAACTAAGAAGTTCTTAGAAAACAAAGAGTTTTGAGTAGTTCTACTCATCCTTTGTGTAACCAAATATTAATCGAGATTTATATTATTCGATTTCATCTGTTCAAGTTACAAGGTACAGTTTGATTTGCATGTCCAGCCATCAAATGGCATAGAACTCTTACTACAATTTTCCAAAATCGCGGCATAAAATTACAAGAACATGAATCAAGTTTGTCCAGCTAATTTGATTGTTTCTTTGGATATTCTCTCGGCCCGAATATTGTCGATCCAATTCTCACGTTTGTGCTCCCCATTTCGATCTGCAAAACCATCAAGTTTTTCCATTTAGTGAGAAAATTTCACTGGTGTGTGTAGTGAAAACATATTACGAAAGCTTAGTCCTTACCGCTAGCTCAAAATCCGAAGACATGCCCATTGAAAGCTCACATTGCTCCTCTGGTATTCCGAGTGCCTTGCAAACCTCAGTTCTGCAGTTCGCCAACGTCTGACAACAAACAGTTTGATTTGAGAATTGCCAATAAACCCGAGGAACTGAAACTTCGGAGAAAGATTTACATGTAGTGTGTTGGAGCATCACCTTAAAGTTTTCCGGTGTAGAAGTATAATCTAGCATCCCAATTGTCATTAGACCACAAAACTCAAGGTATGGACAACCCGAAGTTACATGCTTTGCGAGCTCCACACATCCAGAGGGCTCAACACCAAATTTTGCTATGACAGTATTTTACGGAGATCAGATATTATCTCAAAACAATAAAGAACAAATGACTAACATACGGAAGACATGGATTATCGGCAAACATTTGATAATGAATAAAACGAATACAAAAAGTACAACGGATAACCATGCAAGCATAAACCGCAATACTCCACAAGCATGCATCTCCCACTATATCTCAGAAAAGGGTTGGCTCATATGACACATCTAGTTAACTTACATTCTTCTCCACTGGTGTTCACTTGGATTAAGACCTTCAAAGGCTTTCTCCCGATGCTGCCAACCACGTGATCAAGACGATTAGCAATCTGCACAACATACAAGGTGGAGTAAACTTAAAACCAACCAAGCGGCTCAGTGTCATAACTGCTGAACATGATTATCGCTAAGAAAAACACGAGCTTCCCCAATTACGGACAATTAACAATGGCAGCTACACTTGAATTGCCCCAACCATAAGTAACTAAAGGTAATATGATACAACACAGAACGAATGACAAAAAAAAAAGGTACAATCTTTACTAGAATCCCGTAACTAATACAAAATGCCATTGAATTTCTCGAGATCCATCACCCGAAACTGAAAAGTAAGTTTGCATACAACGCACAGAAAATGAAGATAGCAGAATAAGTGTCTACCTTCTCATCGTCCACACTCTCTACCATTGCAAGGTTTGGTACTCCGGCTGCACAATTTACATAAAAATCAAACCAAAACTACTGATTGCTTTTGTACAACAAACGGATTACCGAAAAAAGGCTTAAAGGTATGAAATTCAAGCAAATTGACAACAACCATGATTGGAGAAAGAGAAAATAATCATACTTAGAAGGGGTTTTACTTTATTGCTCTGCAAATTCCCAATGAAATGCCACTCAATGTCCTCCGGAAGCTGCACCGCGCAGACGATCACCAAAAATTCAATCTCTTTCAGTACAAATAGGTTGCCCAAAGCTCTTTAGAGAGAGAGAGGCAGAAGTTTTATACCTGAGGAGCTTTCTCGACGATTTCTTGGACGTAGTTTTCGCCGAAACAGCGATGGCCGGCCTCGTACACTTGGCGGAGCAGGGAGACTGGTTTCGTCTTGCTCACCGCCACCACTCGGATGTCTTGGGCTTTGCGCGCTGATTTTTCGGCTGCCTTCTGGATGCGCTGCAGCACCGAGCGGAGCGCCGCCGCTGCGACACCGTCGATTGCGGCGGAGCTGGCCATGCCTGGTTGCTCCTCTCCTTCGGGTTCGTTTTCTCTCTCCGCCTTCTCCAGATTGTCGGGTTGCGAATTGCGATTACACTGCCATTGCATCTGGCGTGGAAGCTTAAAGACTCGCGGTTGCCATTGCTGACTGGAGCGCCAGAAGGTGCGGATTGAAAACGAAGACGCTACGACGTCGGAGATTTGAACCATCCCAAGTTTTATGACCGGCCCAAAATTTGAGGCTTGGGCCTTGAGTTTATGGCCCAGATTTAGTTTGTTGGATTTCTTTTCTCAATAAATTTCTGAGGACAAATGCTTTTTGAAGTAACACGTGTATCATCCATATTCCAGACACAACAATGAAAAATTTCTCCTTTCAAAGATTTCTCTTTGATTCTTGTTCCTTGTTCATAGCAATTTTTTTTTGGTATTCGAAGCTTAGGGGGAGGGAGGGTTGCCCCATCCCAGGACCAGGGCATAGCACAAGATTTCTTTAAGGACTTACAGAGGGGTTATAGCCCATTTTTTGGTTTTTACAGATTAGTCACCAAGAGGGATTGCTCGCAGCAGAGCTTGAACCTAACCCTGCTTTAGTGAAGAGAACAATTCTTACCAATTCAACAAACCTTCGTTGGCTTCCTCGTTTATACCATTAAAACAGATAAAGGCAGACGAATTCATGTGGGAATTTGCTTGTATATCCCTTACTTGAAAATGAACAAAATATAAAAATTAAATTAATTGTAGAGTGATCAAGGAGAAGTGTACATATTGCTGTTGATATCCACTGCCTAATGCATTAATTTCAATTTAATCCATTTGAAAATTTCTAACCCTAAAGCAGTAACACCTAAAACACAAAGTATTGCGACATAAGGCCATTTCCAATTTGGAGGATGAGCTTGATTTTTGATTCCTTCAAATATGTTTGCTATAGTTAGAGCAATTAGAGCGTAGCCTAAAAGATGATGGCATATCTTCACGTACTTATTGGAAAATCCTTTTTCTTCCTGCTGCTTAGGTCGCCAAAACATGGCAAGCATCTGCAAAACCATAGAAAATGTATCGTTAATTCTCGAAGCTACTCACATTTGACTCGACCCCTTCCGACAATAGTATTGATCTCTTTATTTGGGTTACAATTTATGAGAGAACTAAATCATTAGCTTATCATAATTCTGACTCATTTCTTCGATCACCCTTCACATATATATTATCATACACAAACTCGAGATATAGGTAAACTGTACATGCTTATTTGGTACAGAATGGGACGAACACAGCCGCCCCTGAGGGTAGCCGAAGTAGGCGGCCTCCTAGGGCACCCACTCCGGAGGCCCCATAATTTTTATTTATTTGTTATATATATACATATTATAAAATTTGTGTCTGTTCAAATAAGAAGTTTACAGACTTTAAGTCTTGTCTAGATACAATAGCATATTGGGCTGAGCACAACATTTGTAAGATTCAATTTTTTTTATATAATTACTTGATAAAAAACAACAAACCTGTTTTGTACATAAAATGTTGAAAATTAGATTATGTAACTTAATTAGTACATTGACATCTAAAAACGGGAGACATGTAAAATTTAAGTAATATTTGTGTATCTTTATTATTCTAATATTAAATTTTAATGATGTTTGATGTAGATATAGATTTTTTCATGTATTTAGCGATTTTTTTTTTATACATATTAATGTACAAAGAGTTAGGGGTTAGAGAACTCTAAGGCCCCACTTCAAAGGCTCACTTAGGACCCCCAAATTCTTAGGGCCGGCCCTGAGGACAAAACCCAACAAATAAAATTAAACACAAAAATCTTAAATTAGCGGTCCAATACTAGAACTCTCGAACAGTTAAATTTGATAAAAATGGTCTAACAATCGATTTCATACATACTGCATCTATCTTTCTAATTACATGATAATAACGCATTGAGTTAGAAAGACACATGACTATCTTATTAATTTCAACACAACCCTTAATTTAATCAACTACAAGGAGTTTGAGACTTACTTGTATGGCGGTGAATGTAAATATAATAATCCCAAGAGTGCGATGCGTTTTGTTACTGTGTCCCTTTGAAGAATGTCCAAGCAACATACCAATAAGCCATCCAACTGTGCCTACAACGGATCCACCGGTTTGACACATTATGTGAACTGAATACCATTCCTTGCACTTAAATGGATATTTTCTGAAGTACCTTGCAGCTATTGCTCCCATCGGCAACAAAGTCCCCCATCCTATAATATTTAGAACCCCATGCGTCTGTCAATAATTTCTTCATTAAAATGGGCATAGAAAAATGGCCGCGCGATAAAAAATAAATGGCGCGAGTAGAGATGCTAGTTATACAAATAAATGACTCTAATGAAAACGTTTAAGCCTTAAACCAAGCTTACATTTCTTAGGTGATGCTGAAAAGGAGAAGGATGTTGAGCTCGCCATGTTCTTAGATGTGCTGTGACTTCAATCTCTGCAGGGCTATGAGTGTTCCCTTGGTGATTGCATGATGAAGGGAGAGGAAAAATAATAAAACTGAGGATAATCAGGCTTGGATAACTTATCATGCTCTCTCTCAAGCAAAAGTTGTTTGAGGGGTGGTGAATCTGTCAATTTTTTGAAGTGATAACAAAGTAATGAGAAAAATCCTAAAAAAAGAAAATATACTAATTTCACATATTATAGAAGTCTGTAAGTAGAATTGTATACGACTTAAGATATGAAACTGTTTTGTAGCTTGAAATTTTTTCTTAAGTAGTGTTGGCAGTTGAGAATATGTGCTTTTCTTTGCAAATTAGGGAATCATGTTTGGCTTGTTTTAGTGGAAGTAGGAAAAATCAGATTTTATTCCCATCTTTATTTTCCCTGCTCCCTTTTTCTTTTTAAATGTTTGATACTAAGATGCAATTTTTCTGGGCTTAGTTTACTTTTCAAATTGCAACATGAGGGTTTCAGTTTCATCATGGGGTTAAATTAAATATTACGTAAATCTATCATTGATGTGAAACTGTGAAAGTGAGAAAAAGGGTCGGTTTTGCAATTTTTATGTTCTTTTACTTAGACTTTATGGTTGGAGAGATTTTTCAGTGTTCTGAGAACACGGTACGGTACATCAAGTGTGATAATAGTTGAAAATCTGAATAAAAAAGTTTCTAACCAATTATTTTATGATACTTGGTGCATCGGACTGTGTTTACGGGACACTGAAAATTTTCTCTTATGGTTGGGATACAGAATCAATGGAAGGGCAACTTTTCTTTATGCCCAATCTATTGATTTCTTCATAGAAGATTTTCAGTAATTTGTAAGTAGCCTTTTGAATTGAGACCATTAGTGCACCATACAAATAAAGCAAGACTTGTACATTCAGTTTCCAATTGTCAACTCCCCCCCCCCCCCCCCCCTCCCCCCTAATGTTACTATAAAACCCAATGTCACATTGATTCCTGTTAAGTACCTCCTAAGCTCCTACCCCCAACAAAAAAAAAAAAAAAAAAAAAAAGGAAAATCACTAGCTTCTAATTTAGTCATGGCCATGAAGTTGATGAACATCTTCTTTACCCTCCTAGCAGCAATGGCCATTGTTGGAGCTGAAATTTTCCGCGATGATCATATCGAAGACGTGGAAATGCAGACAAGTACTGAAACAGAAGCAACTAAATTTCCTGAAATACCAGATGAAGAAGAAGAAACTACTTCTCTAAGAGGAGTGAGCCGTTTTCTTTATAATCATCATAAAAATATACCACTGCCCAGTTATAATTGCGACAACTTTCCTAGGGTTTGTCGTGCGAAGAACAGCCTGGGGCCAGACTGCTGCAAGAAGAAATGTGTTGACGTGAAGACTGATCGGTACAACTGTGGGATTTGCGGCTACAGATGCAAGTACACAGAGATTTGTTGCAGGGGCAAGTGCGTCAATGCATCGTTTGACAAGAGGCATTGTGGTGGGTGCAATCAGAAATGCAAGAAGGGAGACTTCTGTGTTTATGGGATGTGCCATTATGCATGATTATTTCACAGTATACTACTGCTATACATTTGAGTAAACTGCTATACATTTATTCTGTCATATTAATTATGACAAATTATATGTAAAGAGAGAAAAATTATTCTTATATTTATATGACCTAAAGCATTATTATTGTTATTGTAAAACCATTGCAATTAATGGTTTCAAAGTAACTCATATGCAAAAAAACAAAATTCTCATATTGTAATTTGAATAAAATAATACAGTCATGAGACACTGTTTCAGGTACACGGAAACATTGACCATGCAAGCGTGGTGTGTATCTACACTTTCTATTTTATTGTTAATTGTACTTCAATCCCGCCCATCAGAAATCCTCCATCAAGAAGGGAATCGTCCGGCAACAAAATTATGTCAAACAAATATCACATTTTTCAAGAGCAATAAATGATATATATACTTGTTCCATAATCTAACTAGCTAGTGATTGAAAAGTGCAATTCCCTTGTTGTATTGCTATGTGCATATAATTTGCTGCAAAGTCGTTATTTTCATGTGCTTAGGGAAGGTACGCAGTATCTTGTTGTTGCTTCTTTACTGAACACGCAGTCGCTTACCCCTAATGCAATCAAGTTAACTTGCTTTGAATTTAGTTTCTTTCTATAATTATATAATTATAATGAAAACAAAAATGCTACTCTTACTATATTTTTCATACCTTATTTGTACCTGTTAGATACCTAGTTGGACTTGACTAACATTATAAGTATCTTTAGTTGCCTATACGTTATAAACTGATTAAGGAGTTGTAAGCGTGGAAAACTACTTCTTTAACTAAAGATACGTGGATAACATGCAGCAAATGATAACTGTTTATCCACTGCTCGGCGAAAACTGCCGACAACCGCAGGAAACTGATTTCCACGGTAGATGGAAGTTAGATGAAGGCTGTGTATATATAATCCAGTTCCCTACCCGTGAAGAAATGTTCTGTAAATCAGGGTTCTATCACCTTTGGAACTTAAAAGTCTTAAACGAGTAGAAGAACTGCAATTTTCAACCAGAAGCATGACTGCTCCAGGTATCAGGTATAGCAAACTAAATTGTAAATGTAATCTGGGATACTTGTTATATAATGAACTTACTGCATTAATGTTTAACTGCAAATTGATAAAGTAAAATATATATATCGGTTTCCAACATTTGGTATCAGAGCCAAATAACAAGTCCTAGATTCGGTTCACTGTTTTATTATTGTGATAAAAGTGTGATGATATGTTTGAAATATATTATATATCTCTCGAGTAATGCAGTACTTGATGAACTTCAGATATTCATCAAAGTGAATATTGTTATTGTATCTCTTGGCTATTAAAGGGGTCTTAAAAGATTCATGGCATGTTCATATATTTCTCAAAAGGGAAATATATATAAATTGCATGAAGGTTAATAAATTGTATGAATCATTCCTGTAAAAGTTTGCAATTGTCCAGTCCAAAGACTTGATGTATTTTTGCGATTATGGAATATTATAGTCAATATATGCAATATGGAAGGCAGTTTATGATTTTCACTCAAAAGTGCGATGTAAACTTGCAGCAGTAACTGCATACTCTTTTCTTTGTGACTAACGTTTCCATGACTGCTCCAGTGAATTCATCTGCTCTTAGCCTTTCATCTGTTGAACCATTAAGTGGTGGCAATTTCAAACGGTGGAAGCAAGATATAGAGATCTTGCTAGGACTCATGGATCTCGACCTTGCGCTCCGAGAAGATGAACCTGCTGCACTGACAGATGTTTCAACTGCTGAAGAAAGACACAAGCATGAGAAATGGGAGAAGGCTAACAGGATGTCACTAATGGTTATGAAAAGGACCATGAATGACACTGTTAGGGGTGGAGTTACAGGGTGTGACAAGGCCAAAGATTTCCTTGAGGCCATTGGAGCAAAATTCAAGGAGTCTGAGAAGGCTGAAATGGGAGAATTGATGACAACACTTACAACTCTGAAATTTGATGAAGGAAAGGGGGTTAGAGAGCACATTCTGAAGTTGGTAAACACTGCAACAAAATTAAAGGACTTGGATGTTCCAGTTGATGAGGCTTTTGTGGTCCACATGGCATTAACCTCTTTGCCTTCATGCTATGATCAGTTGAAGGTTACTTACAGTACACAGAAGGAGAAATGGTCCATGGATGAACTGATTTCAATTGCTGCTCAAGAGGAATGCAGGCTCAGGCGTAATGTCAATCATGCTGCAGTGAACTTGGTGCACACTGACAAAGGGAAGAAACCATTCTTCCACTCTGGTAAGGCCCCTAAACTGACCTCCAATAGTAGTGCTGCCATGACTGCATCCTCCTCCAAAAGACCTGAGAATTATAAGGATATAATGGACAACATAAGGTGCTATTTTTGCAAACGAACTGGTCACATGAAAAGAGATTGTGAGAAATTCAAAGATCTGAAAACTAAGAAAGGTATTTTAGTAAAAATTTTTGTGTGCTTTGAATCTAATCTTGTTGAAGTCCCTCCAAATTCTTGGTGGTTTGACACTGGTTGTTCGGTTCATATCACCAATTCGTTGCAGGGTTTCACAAGAAGAGGTACAACAACAAGAAATGAAGTTTTTCAAGTCTATGTTGGCAATGGGAATAAAGTGGCTGTGGAAGCAATAGGCGACCTCAAGTTCAAGTTGTCTAGTGGCTTTGTTTTAGATTTAGTTGATGTTTTATATGTACCTTCTCTTAGAAGGAATTTACTTTCAGTTTCGAAACTTGTAAAAACTGGCTTTGCTTTCGATGGAGATAACGAAAGTGTCAGGATTTACATGAAGAATAATCCAAGAGTTGTACTTGGAGTCTGTTTTCTAGTTAATGAATTATGGCAAGTACTTTGTATGGTTTGCAATGAAGGTGTTTGTTTTAATACTGAGTCATTTACATCAACTAAAAGACTTGTCTTAAATGAAAAATCTTCCATGCTTTGGCATAGGAGATTAGGGCACATATCTAAAGCAAGATTGGATCGCATGATTAAGGATAAAATTTTGCCTGCTTTGGATTTCTCAAATTTCGAAAACTGCATTGAGTGTTTTAAGGGGAAAATGACTAAAACTAAGAAAAAGACATCAGTTCGAAGTCAAAAACTATTAGAGATTATCCACTCTGATGTTTGTGGACCTTTCCCAACTAAAACAATATGTGGGAACATTTATTTCGTGACTTTTATTGACGATTACTCAAGGTTTTCATACCTTTATTTGATCTCAGAAAAATCTCCAGTGTTGAATTGTTTCAAAGTATTTAAAACTGAAGTAGAGAAACAGTTGGAGTTGTCAATTAAAATTCTAAGGTCCGATAGAGGAGGTGAATATTATGGCAGGTACACTGAGGCAGGTCAATCTAAGGGGCCTTTGGCTCAATACTTAGAGGATTGTGGTATACAAGCACAGTATACTACTCCAGGCACGCCACAACAAAATGGCATGGCTGAGAGGAGAAATAGAACGCTGATCGAAATGGTTAGAAGCATGATGAGTTGTTCAACACTTCCACAGTTCTTATGGGGTGAAGCTGTGAAGATGTCAAATTACATCCTGAACCGAGTTCCTAGTAAGTCAGTTTGCAAAACTCCTTTCGAGTTGTGGACAGGGAGAAAGCCAAGTTTGAATCACATGCATGTTTGGGGTTGTAGTGCAGAAGCTAGGATGTATAATCCTGCTGAAAAGAAATTGGATTCGAGAACAATTTCATGTCACTTTGTGGGATTTCCTGATAAATCAAAGGGTTATAGATTTTATGCATCAAATCTCTCAAATAGAATATTTGAGTCCAATGCTGCCAAGTTTATTGAAGATAAAGAAGCACTGAGTGATTTTCGAGTAACATCAGTTTTGGAATTTGAAGAGCAAGGTGATATAAGTGAGGGTAAAAGTCACGGGGAAAATTTTGATTCACAGCAATCTGTGGTGAATTTTCATATTGGAGATTTTAATTTGCAAAGTGGCACACCTGTTACAAATGCCAACACACCTGTTACAAGTGCTGATGCAACCTCTACTCCAACATATGCATCAACTAGTCAACCAATACAAGCATCAGTAAATGAAAGAAAGGTGATGCCACAAAGAGTTAGGAGGTCAGCGATACCAGATGATTATTTTGTGTACTTTCAAGAGGTGGAACTGAATGAAGGCATATCGGATGATCCTGTTACTTATCAAGAAGCTATGAGTGGTACACAATCTGAATTATGGCAGGAAGCAATGTATGATGAACTTAAATCCATGCAAACAAATAATGTTTGGACTTTAGTTCATGCACCAATTGATATCAAGGTAGTGGGGTGTAAATGGTTGTTCAAAACTAAAAAGGATTCGACTGGAAGAATTGAGCGGCACAAAGCCAGACTGGTGGCTAAGGGCTATACACAAACTGAGGGAGTTGACTACTCAGAAACCTTTTCTCCTGTATCGACTAAAGATTCACTTCGAATTGTGTTGGCCCTTGTGGCTCATTATAACCTAGAACTGCACCAGATGGATGTAAAGACAGCTTTCTTGAATGGTGATTTGGAGGAAGATATCTATATGGAACAGCCTATTGCTTTCATTAAAGAAGGTGAAGAGAACATGGTTTGTAAGTTGAACAAATCGTTGTACGGCCTAAAACAAGCCTCGAGACAATGGTTCTTGAAATTTGATGAAAAGGTAACTTCTTTTGGTTTTTGTGAAAATAAGATCGATGATTGTATTTATCTAAAGGTTATTGGATCTAGATTCATTTTGCTCGTGCTTTATGTGGATGATATTCTCTTGGCAAGCAATGATCTTAATCTTGTGCTTGAAACTAAGAGATTGTTGTCTAAAACCTTTGAGATGAAGGATATGGGAAATGCATCATATGTGCTTGGTATAGAGATCAAAAGAGATAGGGCTCGAGGATTGTTGGGACTTTCACAAAAGTCATACATTGAAAAGGTGTTACACAGATTCAATATGCAAACTTGTGCCAATGGAGAAGTACCAATGGGAAAGGGAGACAGGTTGAATAAGTCTCAGTGTCCGAGGAATGAAATTGAGAAACAAAGCATGGTCAATAAGCCTTATGCATCCCTAGTAGGCAGCTTGATGTATGCACAGGTCTGCACTAGACCTGATTTGGCATTTGCCAT